ACCGGACGGCGGAGACGAAGCTCCACACCAATGCACCACGGCATGATGCTCAGGTCCTTACATGCTCGGTCGCCATTGGCCTTACAAGGAAGCTCGAGGAGAACTTGCAACTTGAGAAGTGAGTCACACTACTCGAAAAGCAAGTAGTTATACTAGCACTACCACTGGACCGGAGGTGAAACTACCCGGCTCCACATCTACACTCGACCGGAGGTCTGGCTACCGGTCGGGAGTCAATCACTGTCAACCCTAGCATGTGGCCTTACTCGTGTGACCTAGCCTCGTCACTGGCTATCGTCTTATGTCGGGGGATCTCCCTCGTGCGGACTCGACAGGCCACCGGAGCCTCGGAACCCTCGAAACCTCCGCGTGGATGACACATGTCAGCCGCCCGCCTTACACTAGTACCGGACCGCGGCCGCGCGCGCACAACGTGTTACGGCACCGGCTCCTCACGGCATGGCAGGCCGTTAAGATCGAGAAACTTATCGATCTGGTCTTTAGGCCAATCTGAGGGAGATGTGCCGTACGTCTTCAACTGGTCAGCGTTGGGGCACGCTGAATGAGTTGGCTGAGTATGCAGTGATGAGCAGTATGCCCACGATATGGAGAACCGCCTGTGCCATATCTGTCACAAGCCAGGCCATATTGAACGTGACTGCGAAGAGGGTCAGGTCCTAGTGGAAGCAAGGGCAAGGGCCAGGGCCAGTCGGAAGGGCAACAAGAAGTCAAAGAACGGTTTTCAGAAAGACTAGCCAATGTAGGAAAGTTGCCCAGTCACTGAGTGACTCTGTGTTGGATCTGACAAAACAGGATTTCTTGAATATTTCAAATGTTACTGGCCCGGATCTTTGAAATGGGAATTCAACGTTCAGAAGATTCCATCTCTACAGATGTATGTCCATGATCTCAGTCTTTTTGTCATCGTCTATGGCCGGCAAGCATCTGTGGATAAATGCGAGTACAGCTAAGGATGTTACTGAACAGTCTTAGGCATATGCACTCTGCATTTGTTGACAGCCCTACTTCTATGTCTACTTGTGTTCTAGTACGTGATTAGCATGCCGGTTGCATTGCCATTAAGTTGAAGGAATTTCGTGTTGTGCCGACAGTTCCAAAAGGTGGGTTGGTTCACAACACAAGCAATACACATTGTTGGACTAACTAAGCACGGCAAACCGGGAGTGGTTGCCAACCAACGGGCATATCCGCAAGAAAGCGTACAGGACAGACAGTTGCAGTCAGATAATACGTGGTCCGTTGTGCAAACTCCTGAGAAGTTGCGAGTTCTGTATCTTGCTTCTATTGCTAACAAAGTGTCTGCTGAAGCAGGTCCGAGTCAACAGGGAAGATTCTCGCAGCCTCACAAAAGGGCTCAGCTAAGTTGCCACTTATGATGTTTTCTGGTAAGGCAGCTGCTCAGAAAGCCAACATCCTGTTTGATTCTGGAACGTTAGTGAACTTCGTCTCTGCCAAATTTGCCAAGTTTCGGGGCCAAATTTGCTAAGCAGACAGGCATTACGGTAAGACCTACTGCTCAGAAAGTTTGTCTGGCAGATGACGTTGTTAGCGAGGTCCTGGGTGAGGCAACTGTGTATGTTCAGTTATGAGCATTTCATCGAAGCCTGTGAAGTGTTACGTCATGAACTTGTTGTTTGAGGTTGATCTTATCATGGATAATGAGTTCATGATTAGGCTAGGTATAAGTGTATCCTACATTATGGGGAGAGTCGTGTCACGATTCAGAAAGGGAAAAGACATTTGACTATTTGTAGTCCTCCACTTCCTCGTTCGGCGTTCTGACGATGATGAGAAGTTTAATCCCAATGTGTTGTTGGCACGCGGCGTTGAAGCGGTTCAAGTGAAGCGTGGCGCAAGCGTGTACTTGGCGTCATTGAAGTCGATTGACCCAGACCGTTGCCACGTGTTCTACCGCTATTGTAGCAGGCTCTGTAATTGGGGGCAACCAAGAGCTATGCCTCTACACTGTCTGAGCCAACCGTCCAACCAGTCCAAC